TATATAATTATCCCATTCTATTTCTTTATGGGTGATCACAATTAATCCTAATCTAATGTTGACGTTTTGATTTGTCGACAAAATTTTTTGATATTGCCTTTAAAAAAGGGGAAATGGGGTAAAATGGACACAGAACTACAAAAAATAGATTATTGAATCCATAAACCTTAGCAATTAGATGGTCCAACGCACTGGACATAAGCTTTGGCTTATAAAAGTAAATAGGAAACTAGCACAAATAATAGAAATTTCACAAATTACTCCTACATATGAGACATGTAGTAATAAAATTTTGGTATTTGAAACATCTCAATAGTAACATGTTTGAGTAGACCAATAAGGGTTGGTTCAGTTGGTAAGGCTCCTTTCCTTTGCTTATTTGACTTAAGTTCGAGTCTCGCTACCGGCAATCCTTTGTTGGTGGGTGATATTGCGTAACACTTTCCCTAACCCTAGAGTAGGGGTAGCCTCTCCTCCTCCTAAACTTTTTAGTTGAATCAAAAAAAAAAGTAACATGTTTGAGTAAGAATAATTTGTGAGCTGTGTAAAACTATTCAACAAGGAAAATATTAGGGATATTAAAAATTTTTACCAAATGTCTCACATGGATTATGTGAGACCCACTCTTTGTGAGATCTTTGGTAAAATATTTGGTATCCCTAACATTACTCATTCAACAATATACGTAGGGTTAGGCCATTTTTTTTTTTAATTAATGAGAGATTTTTCATGTTAAAAACCCAAGAGTAATGGCGGAGTTAGGAAATTAATTATGATTTTATTTTTTATTTTTATGTATTCAATGTTATATATAACGGTGGTGCTATGTACCAATTAGTGTACACACTAGTGTACCAATTAGTGTTATGATATTATTAATGACCCTATTTATTATCCAAATTATAAATATTCAAAACCTCTAAAATTATGCCACATCATCTGTTAGTATATTAGTGTGTACACTAATTAGTGCATATAGTATTATTCTATATACAATGGAGAAATATAGATATACACTATATTACAATATGAACACCTCGTCTGGTGTAAACCCAAAAATAAAGCTATATAGCACTTTTTTCTATTCCAAATAAAATAATTTAAAATAAATACCATCCAAATAGTTTTGTCTACTTTAATTTTTGATCTTCACATCATATTACTCCTTCTTTGTAATTAATGTATATTGTATATATTTGCAAATACTATGCATAATACAACCACTAATGTTTATACAATTTTGTTTTAATATTTTTATGGTTCCTAAAATTATTTTCTTTTATGATATTCTAAGTCTTGGTCTGAATAAGGAGAGGGAGAGGTTTCACACACTACAACAAAAACATATTTTAGTGACACCATATTAGTGGCATGTTCTTAAAAAATATCACAAAAAGAATATTTGGTGGCATTTTTTAAAAAAATGTCATTGAGCCACAAACATACAAGGCTCTAGTGGCATTTCAATTAAAAAAAGTGTCACTTCACTACAACAAAAATGTCACTACAACAAATTTACATTTTAGTGACACTACACTAGTAGCATGTTTTTAGAAAATGTCACAAAAATAAAAATTGGCATTAAATGTTTTAGAAAAATGTCACAGAACCACAAACATATAAGGCTCTAGTGGCATTTCAATAAAGAAATGTCACATCAATTTTATGGCATTTTATAAAATAATGACACAAAAAATTATGTTTGTGACATTTACCAACAGATGCAACTAAACTTTAGTAGCAATGGCATTTTAAGAAAATGTCAGGGCACTAGGTAGGTGCAAATTACTTTTTATGACATTTAGGTGAAAAGTGTCATAAACAAATATTTTATAGCATACTAAGCCAAAAACTTTCCAAGCTGATAATGGCATTTTTGAAAAAACAAAAAATGCCAATATATTTTCTAAATTTTTAAAATGCAGTAAATGATTAAAAATAAATAAATTAAACTCAATATACACTACAGGAAAAAACACATTCGGCGATTAAATTTCCTGAACAAAAAAAATTTGGTCGCTGAAAGCTTTCTGACCAAAAAAAATTTGGTCGCTGAAAGTATAGCTTTCAGCGACCAAAACAACATTAGTAGCCAAAAGTAAAGCTTTTTGGCGACTAAACAATTTTAGTAGCCAAAAGTCTACAGTTGGCGGCTAAAACTAAGTTTAGTCGTTGATTATATGGGTTTTAGTGACTACAAAATTTTTAGTAGCCCAAAGTAAAGCTTTTTGGCGACTAAAAAAATTTAGTAGCCAAAAGTGTACAATTAGCGACTAAATATAAGTTTGGTCGCTGATTATATGGGCTTTACTGACTAAAGAATTTTTAGTAGCCAAAAGTAAAGTTTTTTGGTGACTAAAAAAATTTCCATAGCCAAAAGTCTACAATTGGCGATCAAAAAATAAGTTTAGTCGCCAAAAGTGGTCATTTTTAGCGCGGGAGAACTAAAATCCCAAGGCGGGAATTAAATTTTTTGGCAACCAAAATTTGGTAGCTGAAAGTGTATCTTCGGCAACCAAATCTGATTTTGGTCAGCAAAAGTTAAGTTTTGTAGCAACTAAAAAATAATTAGTAGCCAAAAGTATAGAATTGGCGACTAATAAAAAATATTTTTAGTCGCCAAAAGTGATATTTTTTTTATTTTTCTAGTAAATAGTTTATTTTACATAAATTATGTTCAATAAAATAATTATGTTTATGCATATACTTTTATATTAATATGGATGTATGTACTATATAAATAATATATGTTGCATATATAATCATGTGGTGCTATAGAGGTGTAGTGGGAAGAGTGTGGTGTTATGGTGCGGAAGGTTGGCGGTTCGAGTCTCCGTAAGAGTGGATCAAATTGTTCTACAATGAATTATTGTCATGAGTGGCACTTGATAGTGTCACGAATAGTGCCTACCATGACATTAAAGTGTCACTAAAAGGTTTTAGTCTTGATGGTGTAATGACACTTACAAGTGTCACTAACTCTTTTTTTAATGGCGCTTGATAGTGTCACAAATAATAACTACCATGACATCAAAATGTCATTGAAAGTTTTTAGCTGTGATGGTATAGTGGCACTTGCAAGTATCTACCAGGGCACAGATACAAATGGCACTTCTTCAAAATGTCACAAGGCTAAAAAATGTCATTAAATCAATAGTTTTGTGGCACTATCAAATGTTACTAAACTAAAAAAATGTTGTAGTGCTAATACACTTCTTGTCGTGATAACATAATTGTTTTTTTTTTTTTAAAAAAAAAAAAGACTAAATCACAATAGCCGAACATGTTTTCTTTTGAAAACTGAAACAGAAATATAAAATAACATACATTACACCATCATATAATATGAGGTATAATTTTAGTCCAGACAACTTACAAAATAATAAAAACAACCACACTCGTAACACAACCTATAAACTTTTACTCTTAGATGTCTGTAAATAACAATATTTCATCATTATCTTCCCATCCTTAACACATGCTAAGGAAAACATTTACACATTATGCATACATATATAAGCAAACAAACAAAAATCACACCCATGTGCCTATATTTGAAAATTATGTACTAAACAAATAGTCAAAATGTATAGTACATAGGATATCCTAAAAGTATGCATGACAGTAGAGTTTTTAAGGAAGTAACACAGGACCCAGCCAAACAATTCCCCATGCTAGAGGAAGGTAGGATGAACGACACATCTTTTTTTGTTTGTATTAGTTGTGTGCATTTGATATTTGTAATCGACCACCGTACTAATGTGAAATTATCGACATACAACCAGGAAAATATTACCTTGTTGATGCGGGGTACAAGAACCAAAAAGGGTTTTTGGCGCCGTTTAAGGGATGTTGCTACCACCAGGAAGTGTTTCACGCAACAAGACGGCCAAAAAATGCAAACGAAATTTTAAACACAGTGCACTCCTCCTTACGGAGTGCAATTGAACGTACGTTTGGCATATGGAAAGCGTGATGGGGATTCCTACATACGGGTAAAAAAATATATTCAAATCAATGATAATCTTTATAAATATTAATATATAAAATCATAAATTTTTTTACAATTGCATAATTAAGATTTGAAAATATCATTGACAAGTAATATTTCCTAAAGATAACATGGTATAAAAATCAGAAATCAAAACTTCAATTTAAAATTTAATCACAATGATGTTGTAAGGGAGTTAGGTTTCTAAATGAAAAAAGTGTGTAGCAAGTAAAAAATTATTAGCACTTGTAGGTTAAATTGTGAGAGGTTTTTTTTTTTTTTTTTTTTTGAAAAATATCAAATATATTTCATATAAAAATATGATAAGTGTAATATTATTGATATCTACCCCAAGACAATGGCTTAGTGGGTGGCTTAGTGGGTGTAGCTTCGGATATAGGGATGTACTCCCTCTAAGTCTCAATTCAATTCTCGCTAGATGCTATCAACTCCTTGAGGTCATGAATGTTGTTCAAGATTTGCCCGACCACGTAGAGAGAGTGCTTTGCGTGGATCTCGAAATTAGTCGAGGACATCTGGTTGAAAAATATATATATTGATTTCTATGGTGGATATAAAAAAAAAGTTTAAAAAAAATTATTATTAGGGCTTGGGAATTAAAACTTTTAACTACAGTAATAATGGTACAGTGCATTGCTAACGTAAGTGCGGTGAGATTTTTTATAGATACGTTATGGATATTAAGTGATAATACTCTCTGATAATATGTGGAGTAAGCTACCTGTATATTTATTTTTATGAATATTAAAAAATAAAAAAATAAAAAAATTAACAGTGCAGCGCTAACGTACCATACAGCTAAGCATTAGCCAATAAACCCAAAAAAAAAAACCTAAAACAAACAAATAAAAATAAATAAATAAATAATTTGAAAACCCAAACAAATCGCGTCATCTATATCTATCTCTCTCTCCACGGAACCCTTCCCCCTTCACTGTTACGATCGGCGAGAGTTCCCTAACCCCCCTTAAACCACCACCCCCCCCCCCCCCCCCCCCCTCTCTCTCTCTCATCCGATTTTCGGCATGTTAGATCTCCGGCGTGTTTAACGGTTTCTTTTCTCTCTCTTTTTTCATATCTCTACTAGTATTACTATTTTCTTGGTGGTTCTTGGAAGTAATCTTTCTTTTCCTTTAAACTACTACTATGTTTTTTGTAAATCCAAATAGTCTAGTTTCGTCTGATTTGTTGATTTAGTTCATCTCTACCTATCAAGATTTGATTAATTACCGGAAATCTAACACGGGTTTTTTCATTTCTTGATTTATTATTAGTATTGTCTTAATCTGACATGGGTTGTCTTTCTTCCCCGGAATCTAACCGTTGGTGAGTCACAAAATCAGTTTGTGTTTTTCGATTTTTTGATTTGCGAAAAACTGATTTGTTTCTGCAAAACAAAAAGGAGTGTTGTTTTTTTTTTTTTGTTGTATGAAAATGAGTTTTTTACATAGTTGGATTCTTGTACGGTACCCTAACGACATCGCTTTACGATTTGGCCACTGGTAACAGGCCACATCAGCATATCCCCCATGGCCTTGGCCTTGCTCAGGCTCCATCTGAATCTTTAATTTCTCTATTATTTTTATTCTATATATATGTACACTTCAATGTTTTCTGTAATTTTTTGAGCTCTTGCTTAAAATGGATGTGTATACCTATTACCTCTCTCTCCTCTCTTTATACTTTCTCTCTCTTCATCCTCTTGGTTGATGTTGTTGCGCATGGATTGATTGACAGTCGTCGTTTGCTGGTGTAGCATCATCAAGATTCACATTCAAATGCACGGTGGTCGTTAGTGGTGTGATATGATATTGTAATCAATCTCTCTCTCTCTCTCTGCAAGAGCTTTTTGAAGATGAGAATCTTGATGATGCTGCATCGGCAATAAACGACTACCTACCTAAATATATATAGGATGATCATTTTGGCCCTGCCTCGCTCACTCAACTCTATTTGTATATGCGAGTTTGACTTGCAACAAATGTGCTACTTTGCATTTCAACAAGGTGATTCTCTATTTCTTTCAGCTGTCTTTCAGATGGGTTTTTGCTATTTGTTGGAAATACTTTCCAACTCCTACCAATCTATCAATAGATTTTTTTAGTGTTTAATGTCCTTTTTTTTTTTCCCTTCTTTGCTTTTCTTTCTTTCTTTCTTTTTTTTTTTTTTGGTGAAAATGTTCAGGAAAATCAAAGCAAATTACAGAATCAGGTACAACTCTATCAGTGTGATCGGTTTCTTTATCCCTATTATATTCCAACAATATTGTTCATAATAAGATAAAGAAAAACAAAAGGGCTGGTATGAGTCACTGTAGAAGGATTGATGAGTAAGTACTAAACTCGCAGATCTGTGATTATTCTTCTGATGAGCAAAGAAGCTTTGATAGAAATGGTATCTTCTTAATGATTTTGATTTTTTTTTTTTTGGGGATAGAGATGGGGATTGGATATTCTCTAGAGGAGAAAGAGACAGATTTGCAGATGATGCATGTGCAATAAATTATTTACTACAGAAAGGTAAATTCTTTTCTCCATCTTTTTTGCATTTTCTTGTTGCTTGTTTGGTGAAAGATCCATCAATGAACTCTTGGTTTCTTTGCTTTTGATTGTCCTTTAAAGATTAATTATGTTTTTGCAAATCCAAAAACTGTTAATATTTGAGAACAACATTTGAGTGGGAAAGCTGATGCGTAATGTAAGAAAGAAAAAATATTTTGATATGGACCTTTATTCATATATGACTGTGTCACTGATATTAAACTAAATTATTATTTAAAAGCTTTGAGTTCTTGTTTTTGTTCTTATCCAATATATGGGGTTTGGTGATATCAACCCAAGATAGAAAACTTTCGTTGATGATGAACCCCAAAATAGCATGCTGAGTTTGGGCTTTTTTTCTATATTTGTCTTGTTCAGAAAAGATTGGAAATAAAATTGATTATTTTATGGACATTCTTCCGAGTGGTTTTTTATTTTTATTTGTCTGTGGAAGTGAATAGAGAGATATCTCTTTGAAAATTGGAACTGGTATTGGGGAGCTTTGAATGCAAATCATGGTTGGAACAAGTCACATTGTCGCTGCCATTGTTGGGTTGCTTTAACATTTCTCAGCCATCACTCTTCTAGGTGGACCAACCCTCATAGGCATCTTGCAACTTGCTCCTCTCTCTCTCTCTCTCTCTCTCTCAGACACATTCCTGTCATTTTACAGACACGCGATTATGTTGAAATTTTCTATCCAGATGATATTTTTTCGTCCACGTAACTATATGCTCATCCAATAATAATAGATATTTTACCATTTTCTAAGAAAAATAGGGACAAATGATTATATGACTGCATGTAATTTGATGGGTTGAAATTTTCGATCCACTTGATAATTTTTTATCTCCAAGACACGTGTTCAGTGCACCAAATATTCACATACCTCTTCGAGACACATATTTAGGATTGATTTGAGATGTTCTAAAAAAGTGTACTTTTTGACTTATTGGCTTATATGGATTGGGTTTGGGTTGGGTTTGATGTGATGGGTTAGAGAGGTGATATGATTTAAATAAGATGATGTGACTTAAATAGGATAGTGACTTTTTGACTTTTTGTATTATTTAGTTTATGCCAAACCAACCCTTAGTGCTGTATTCACATCTTTAATAATAGTACCCAAAAGGTTCAAAAAAAAAAAAATCTTCAATTTTTGGCTTCATTATTAATGAAAGTGATGACTCAAGACATTTCAGCTACAGATATAGATCCGTGTGCCTCCATCACTTTCCAATTCTTGGTTCCATGGGGTATATATGCCCATTGTTATAACGTAGCGTATTGTTTCATTAGTTCCAAATCTCCACATCATGGTTTTAAATTTTCACCTCAATTTCTTGGCTAGATACATTTTGATATATTAGTGGGAATGACAATCGTTTGTGTATCATCGATTAAATCGGTTCATAACCAATTCAAACCCAATTCACAGTCGAAACACCAATTCATTTGTTATAAAGCTCTTTTTGGCGACTGATAAATTTAAAAAAAAATCATGATCGACGTCAACTGATTCTCAGTTAGGGTCTATCTAGCACTCATCACTTGTCTTCAATTGTAAATCTTCACTTATCACATACATCTAGATGGGGCACCATGCGTTTCAGCATTCTCTATCTTTGGCTTGTCCACCCAACAATTATACTGTGTTTGGATCTTAGACTTGTAGAGGGTAAAAAAAAAAACCCTTTTCTTCCTTCTCCACAATCTAATATCCAAACATGGTGTAGGGTATTTGTACGTCCATGTCGGCAACATACTGGCTACTTTCATTAGTGAGTTTCTTTTGGTAGCTAGAAAATTTATGTTGTTGGCTTTCTTGGTCTCCGAAGGGGCATCAAACTGGTTTACCTATTAATGTTGTTTTGATGATGAAAATACGAGTTATATGTTGATGAAATTTAAATACTTTATTCAACAAAACAGTGTGGGCTTAAGAGGAGAAACAAAACTCATTTTACTTACGAAGGCATAAAGACCATATAATTGTCAAAAAAAAAAAAAAAGTGGTTCAAGAATTAATTATAGAATTACTACTTGTGTGTTTCCTTTGGCGAAATCCGATACATGAAAGGAAGAAGAATTGCTTTTGTAAATACTTTTTTCTTTTTTTTCCTAAGAATTATTACAGGTCCCAATTGATTCAACAATCGGATCATTGGATTGTTAACTGTGGCAATCATGTCATACTCTCCCATAATCAACTTCTTCCCTATTCTATTGTGCTTTTGTAAGAATTAAGATAAGACTATATCAGATTATGTTTTTACATCCACTTTATGTGTATCACCTTAAAATTTTTTAATATACACCTATTTAAAAAAGGTGTACCATTTACACTCCCATTATGCCATTTTTAAAAAAAAATTATTTATGATCAGTTTTTTTTTTTTTTTTTTTTTTCTTTCTAGTTATGACATTATTTTAGATAGAGAGATATCTCTTTGAAAATTGGAACTGGTATTGGGGAGCTTTGAATGCAAATCATGGTTGGAACAAGTCACATTGTCGCTGCCATTGTTGGGTTGCTTTAACATTTCTCAGCCATCACTCTTCTAGGTGGACCAACCCTCATAGGCATCTTGCAACTTGCTCCTCTCTCTCTCTCTCTCTCTCTCTCTCTCTCTCTCTCAGACACATTCCTGTCATTTTACAGACGCGATTATGTTGAAATTTTCTCTCCAAATTATATTTTTTCGTCCACGTAACTATATGCTCATCCAATAATAATAGATATTTAACCATTTTCTAAGAAAAATAGGGACAAATGATTATATGACTGCATGTAATTTGATGGGTTGAAATTTTCGATCCACTTGATAATTTTTTATCTCCAAGACACGTGTTCAGTGCACCAAATATTCACATACCTCTTCGAGACACATATTTAGGATTGATTTGAGATGTTCTAAAAAAGTGTACTTTTTGACTTATTGGCTTATATGGATTGGGTTTGGGTTGGGTTTGATGTGATGGGTTAGAGAGGTGATATGATTTAAATAAGATGATGTGACTTAAATAGGATAGTGACTTTTTGACTTTTTGTATTATTTAGTTTATGCCAAACCAACCCTTAGTGCTGTATTCACATCTTTAATAATAGTACCCAAAAGGTTCAAAAAAAAAAAATCTTCAATTTTTGGCTTCATTATTAATGAAAGTGATGACTCAAGACATTTCAGCTACAGATATAGATCCGTGTGCCTCCATCACTTTCCAATTCTTGGTTCCATGGGGTATATATGCCCATTGTTATAACGTAGCGTATTGTTTCATTAGTTCCAAATCTCCACATCATGGTTTTAAATTTTCACCTCAATTTCTTGGCTAGATACATTTTGATATATTAGTGGGAATGACAATCGTTTGTGTATCATCGATTAAATCGGTTCATAACCAATTCAAACCCAATTCACAGTCGAAACACCAATTCATTTGTTATAAAGCTCTTTTTGGCGACTGATAAATTTAAAAAAAAATCATGATCGACGTCAACTGATTCTCAGTTAGGGTCTATCTAGCACTCATCACTTGTCTTCAATTGTAAATCTTCACTTATTACAAACATCTAGATGGGGCACCATGCGTTGCAGCATTCTCTATCTTTGGCTTGTCCACCCAACAATTATACTGTGTTTGGATCTTAGACTTGTAGAGGGTAAAAAAAAAAAACCCTTTTCTTAAAAAAAAAAAAGCTTCCTTCTCCACAAATCTAATATCCAAACATGGTGTAGGGTATTTGTACGTCCATGTCGGCAACTTACTGGCTACTTTCATTAGTGAGTTTCTTTTGGTAGCTAGAAAATTTATGTTATTGGCTTTCTTGGTCTCCGAAGGGCATCAAACTGGTTTACCTATTAATGTTGTTTTGATGATGAAAATACCAGTTATATGTTGATGAAATTTAAATACATTATTCAACAAAACAGTGTGGGCTTAAGAGGAGAAACAAAACTCATTTTACTTACGAAGGCATAAAGACCATATAATTGTCAAAAAAAAAAAAGTGGTTCAAGAATTAATTATAGAATTACTACTTGTGTGTTTCCTTTGGCGAAATCCGATACGTGAAAGAAAGAAAAATTGCTTTTGTAAATACTTTTTTCTTTTTTTTCCTAAGAATTATTACAGGTCCCAATTGATTCAACAATCGGATCATTGGATTGTTAATTGTGGCAATCATGTCATGCTCTCCCATAATCAACTTCTTCCCTATTCTATTGTGCTTTTGTAAGAATTAAGATAAGACTATATCAGATTATGTTTTTACATCCACTTTATGTGTATCACCTTAAATTTTTTTAATATACACCTATTTAAAAAAGGTGTACCATTTACACTCCTATTATGCTATTTTTAAAAAAAAATTATTTTTGATCAGTAGTTTTTTTTTTTTTTTTTTTTTTTTTTCTTTAGTCATGACATTATTTTAGTTATATCTCATGTTGTGTTTTGTTTTGACATTTTTTTTTTTTTGGTTATGACTCAAAAAATTAAAGTTATACCATGTTTTTTTTAGTTGTAAAGTGCACCATAGTGTTTCCCGTATAACCTCCCGCTATCTTCTGATAAAAAGAATTAGGTAATTTTTGTGTTAATTACTATTGCAAGAATTTCTATACATGCAAGAGGGAAGATGAACCACCATCATTTAGCTACATTTGGATACACAGAAAAGAGAGTGAATAGATGGATTAGTAGATATATATGTATCTTAACATACACACACTAGCAATAAAATCAAACAAAGAAACATGCTTTTATATCACCACATGAAATACACTACAGCTATCATTACAATGCCTTTATTACGGTGTACTCCATTGAATTATTAAAGATTGTCATTAGATTTTACATTTTATTTTATTTTATTGTGATTGTCATAGATTGTTCTATTGTTTTTGCAAACTAATTTTTGTTTTTGTTGTTTTTACAATGGCATCAGGCTGGATTTTTTTGATAACCGGGTGTTAGGATCAACTTATATTCAATTCGACCAATCCCGGAGCCCTAAAGTTAATAATAGGGCAAAACTCCAGTAGTCCCAAGGTTTGAAATGTTTGACCTTTGTAGAATTCGACCCCGCAACCTCTTGACTGGTGAGCATCAAGCTGGATTGATCCAATTCTTACGCTATCTTGCTTTCTAATTTGACTTATATATCATCAAGTATGATTCATGACTCCCCTCAAAAAAAAATTTTTTTTGATGACTGGTGTTCGGGATAACTTATGCGTACCTTAACTAATCTCAGGATCTATGCAAAGCGTCCCCTCTACATGGATAGGGCAAATCTTGGGCATAGCCCACGAACGTAGCCCCAAAGGAATGTATTGCTCCTAATAGGAATTGAACTTAAGACCTAGAAATAACACACTCCTAAGTCCCTAGTTGTACCTATTAGGCCAATCCCTTCGGGTTTTGATAGTCCTTTATTCACCAAGATATATCTGCATGACACACCAAACTATATATGATCACTGATTTTTGGTCATATATATAGATACAGCTAATGAACAATTTAGCTATAAGGAATGAGAATACAAAAAACTAACACATTTTCTCTCTAATATCATTTTTTTATCGGCAAAACAAAGGGTCTTTATTGATGAAAATAACATACAATACATATGAGATTACATCAATAAAGCAAAGGCGAGAGCAAAGATCATAGCATTGCTTCCTAATCTCAATTAGGTTGTTACCAAGAAGAACACTCAATCATATGGTAGTTCAAGCCACAGAAGTTGGTGAGAAATCAACAGAGCAAAGAAAGGAAAAACAGCAAACAACAAACCCTAAACTCTAATATCATTTGAAACAATGGCATGATGCTGAGATCATAGGCACCGTCTTTAGTTTGCCCCAACACATCCATTTTAGGTTTTTAGGGGACATACATGCATGCATGCACCTTCTTTACAATCCTTGTCATCTGCATGTTTCAGCTACTTATTGAGGTTTTGTGTCATTTCCATAGTCACAGGTTCTGGCATCGACAAATTGAATATACGATCAAAATGACACCAAAAAAAATTGTTAGCAGTTCATCCAGCAGAGGCCAAGTAAACCGCTACAACAAATTGGATATGGCAGCTGTTGCCAATCACTGGTGAAAATTGGGTAATCATATGAAAGAAATCTCATTGTAATTTTTACTTCATCGAAAATAAATCTATTTGCATTGGCACATGCACACACACGCACTCATGAGCACAATTGTGTATACACGTAACATGTGATTTTTGGTCATTTTCCTACACATGAATTTCAAGCATCCTCCATAATTGACTATTCAAAAACTTGATATTGTAGTTTCCCCATTATTTACTTCTCTCTCTCTCTTTTTTTTTTTTTTTTTTTTTAGGGCAAATTACACAAATAGTCCTTGTAGTTTGGGGCTTGTGTCACTTTGGTCCCTGACTTTTGACCCTGAATTTTGAATCTTATTCTAAATAAAGACAATTTAATATATAATTACACTTTTCAAGGGTAAAATTGTCAATTTGATAAAATATAAACTAATTTGACAAAAATAAATGTCAAACAAATATTTTTGAATTTTTAAAAATTGTTTCTACCTACTAAAAATAAAATTATGTAAAATTGATAAATTTTTTAGACATTTATTTTTTTTTTTACCAAATTAATTTTTATTATGTGTTTAACACATAATAAAAATTAATTTGGTAAAAAAAAAAATAAATGTCTAAAAAATTTATCAATTTTACATAATTTTATTTTTAGTAGGTAGAAATAATTTTTAAAAATTCAAAAATATTTGTTTGACATTTATTTTTGTCAAATTAGTTTATATTTTATCAAATTGACGATTTTACCCTTAAAAAATCTAATAATATTTTCAATTGTCCTTATTTGGAACAGGATTCAAAATTCATGGTCAAATGTGTCACAATTGAAAAGTCAAGAACCAAAGTGACGCAAGTCTCAAACTATAGGAACTATAAGTGTAATTAATCCTATTTTTTATTTTTCAATACTAGTAAAGCAAGTAATGATGAGGAAATTTTAAGGGTTTTGCAAATCTATTCATTGTGTTTTTTAAAGTTTTTAATCTCTGTTCCCCTAATCATTGGAACCTAGCTAGTATCATTGCCAATTTAGTTTTCACGAGCTATTATGTATTTAAGTACCATTTTACAATTTGAGTTGTTTTTATGTGTTGATCTCAATTCTATGTAGGGCTTATTTTTGCAATTAATTATGCAATCAATTCAATGTTAGACAATCAGTAGTGATCAATTGCTAAATTTTAATTCATTTTATTTGTTTTTTTGTTTTATTATTATTGGTTTAGTACTGCAGATTGACGCATATAAGATTAGAAACCCTACAAGCCAAGGGTTTAGGGTATCATATAGGATGAAGAAAATGAGGTCAAATGGATAATGTACGATCAAGATTCGATGTGGTATTGCCTTCTTAAAGTTGTGCTTGAATAGATTTGCATTTAAAAAAGAAAAACAGAAGGATAAATGAAGTGGAATCCATTTATTTATTCCTACTTAATTTTTAGAGAGATTGTTTAGATCCCCAACCCACATTTTTTTTACAGCCAGTGATTTGGGGATTTTGTGCTCTCGTGTAGCTGATCATGATTGCATTTGTGTTGTAGTGAAGTGTTAATTACCACCTGTACTTTATGTTTTAAATATTAATTCATTTAAAAGTTATTTATTTATTTATGTAATAGTGAAAAATGTCGCCACCTTCACTTTGTGTTGTAAATATTAATTCATTTAATTATTTGTGTAACGTAGTAGCAAATACATTACCACATTTACTTTATACTAATTAAGATCATTTAAAAAACCAGTAATAACCCGTGGATTTTATAAATTAAAAAAAGTTATTATAATTATTTTGAAGAATTTAATATTTTTTATTGTGGTATATATAAAATTTATAAGTTAACTTTTATGTTTATAACTACTTACCTTATTAGTTTAAAAACATTATATATATATATATATATATATAAATCTATTTGGTGCAATTTTGATAGTTTGTATTAAAGAAAAATTAAATTTGATTAAATGAGATTAAATGAGTTATGATATACCTCTTCTTATTATGAAAATTTAAAAATTTAAAAGTTATAATTAAGATAAATATACAATTTTATTATTAAATGTGAAGTGAAGTGATATTTAACAATAATTAATATGATATTTCTATTATTAATCAAATAATATTTCTTTTGATTTCCATTTCATAACTAAAAATACAATATGAATATAATACACATATGTATTTGTAGTCTTTAATAATAAGAAGGTTTCAAAATATTTTTAAATTTTCATCATTTTCTTTTAACTTTTTTTTTTATCTAATTTGATTTTAAATTTGAATAAAAATTTTAATTTGATATGAATTACTTTAATTTTTTCATTAAATTTTTATCAATTTTTAAAAGAACTTCATTCTTATCCCAATTATTTTTTTTTCCTCCCACCAATTTTGATGGAAAAAACAATCACTTTCAACATTTCATTTTTTTAAAATTTTAATTTGATAAAAAAAAGTATTAAGGGTTAAAGATTCTCTTAATTGGAATTATAGTAAAATAATATATTGAAATAATCAAAGTTTGAGTATGTGTTTGGTTGAAATGTATAACTTAATTAATTCTCTTCTCATATTTGTATAAAAATTGACACTTATGACTACATCATTATAAGTCAGATTATGGAAAAAAAATTTTGAGGTGTCAAATGTTTTTCATTTGTAAATATCCTACATATTAAAATTTTTTTTTAAAAAATGTAACTTTTGGATATGTGTTTATTAGTTTTGTTTTATAGACATAAACAATTGATGTTTCAAGTTAAAAATTAAAAAGTAAAAAAAACAAATAGATTAGGTTTTTTAGAGATAAAAGAAGCCATCTAACTTTTCTATATACTATTTAAGATGGACTATAAACAAATATGCATAACATATATCCAATCTTATATATCAAGTCAACAAACATGACTTGGGGGATATACTATCCAATACTTATATCCTATTTATTATATATCCTGACTAAATCCCACATCATATTATATCCTCTATTTTATATCCAACGAAACAAACGGGGCCTTAAAAGTTATAATTAAGATAAATATACAATTTTATTATTAAATGTGAAGTGAAGTGATATTTAACAATAAGTAATATGATATTTCTATTATTAATCCAATAATTTAAGTTACATTTCTTTTAATTTCAATTTCACAACTAAAAATATAATATGAATATAATACGCACACGGATATCTAGTCTTTAAGAATAAAAAGGTTTCAAAATATTTTTAAACTTTCATTATTTTTTTAATTTTTTTTATTTAATTTGATTTTAAATTTGAATAAAAATTTTGATTTGATTTTATATGAGTTACTTTAAGTTTTTCAGCAAATTTTTATCAATTTTTAAAAGAACTTTTATTCTTATCCCAATTTTTTTTTTCTTTTCACCAATTTTGATGGAAAAAATAATAATTTTCAACATTTCAACTTTTTAAATTTTTATCAAATTACAATTTATAAAAAAAAATACTAAGGGTTGAAAATTCTCTTAATTAGAATTATAAATAACATTTTGTAATAGTCAAAGTTTGAATAAGTGATTTGTTGAAATGTATAATTTAATTAATTCTCTTCTCATATTTATATAAAAATTGACACTTATGGCATCATCATTATAAGTCAGATTATAAAAAAAAAATTTAGGTATCAAATATTTTCCATTTGTAAATATCCTACATAGTAAAAAAAAATGTATAACTTTTGGATATGTATTTATCAGTTTTGTTTTATGGACATAAACAATTGATGTTTCTATATAAAAAATTAAAAAGTAAAAATATATATATATATATATATATATTGGATTTTTTAGAGAGAAAAGAAGTCATCTAACTTTTCTATATACTATTTAAGATGGACTATTTTAATCACATAAAAAAAATAAAAATTATATCTAAAGATTATCCCTATATATTAAGCTATTATGTACAACTATAGCTGTAACAAATTAACTATAATATATATGAAAAGTTATATTAAGTTTTTATTTTCAATTAATTAAATTATAATTAACAAGCTAACAAATAGCAGTAATGGTATAATGGGATAGAAATAGGATAAAAATAAAGAACACATATTTAAAAGTTTTAGATATGTGATAGACATGTGAGTTTTATTGATTTAAAGTATGATAGTGTCACTAACAATCCCCTCACTATTAATCCCCTCACTAACAATCCCCTCACTATTAATCCCCTCACTAACAATCCCCTCACTATTAATCCCCTCACTAACAATCCCCTCACTATTAATCCCCTCACTAACAATCCCCTCACTATTAATCCCCTCACTAACAATCCCCTCACTATTAATCCCCTCCATTCTATCTCCCAAAACAAACGGGCCCTTAGATATGTGATAGACATGTGAGTTTTATTGATTTAAAGTATGATAGTGGAAGATATTTTTAAATTAGATTTGTTTAGATAAACTTTAAAAAAATTTAAAATTTAAAATTGGATATTGAGATGCAATGGAAAGATTTTAACTGAATAAATAAAAATTAAATTTATTAATTTTATCTGTGTGTAGATCTGATTTTTAGTTTTTTTTTTTAATGTTATACTATAATATATAAGATATAAATAGATATCCATAACCTTCATGAAAAATATTATCTGATTTTTTGGGAAAGAGAAAAGGAAGACAAGTTTTAATATTATTTTTTTTTTGGAAATAGTGAGAGAGATTAGGATGGAGAGATTATGAAATATTTGTTATCTTTCCATTTAAAAGCCATAAATTAAGGAATAATTATTATTTCTAAAATAATTAAATAAATAAATCAGCTAATATTTTTTTAATCTATTTTATAAATTGAAAAATCAATAATTTTAGAATAAGAGTTTAGAACTCTTAGGAGACTTCTCATTAGAAACCTCTATTTCCTTATATAATATATAGATATAGATATTTATATTTATTTTAGATATTTTTTTAATATACAAATTATTTTTTTAAAATTATTTTTATAAAAATAATTTAACAATCCCATCACTAACCGTAGTGTATGGGAGAAATTGAAAAGGATGCTGTTGTAACCATGACAGAAGTCAAAAAAACTTGTGGGCTGAAAAAAGTTATTAAATATTGAGGTTTTTTTTTTTTTTGGTTTTAAGTCAAAAAAGTAGAAAATTAAGACTGGGATATTAGAGCTTCCACAAGACTTGTATATTAGAAACCCCATTTTCTTTATATAATATATAGATTTAGGGTAAATTACAAATACGTCTATTGAGATTTATTTAAAGTACAGATTATCCATATGATTTGAAAAATTACAAATATATCATTGTCAAAATTTTTTATTTAACAGAGTTAACTAAAAAAATGTGATTCTTAATTGTTCTTCTATACAATGATAAGATTACCCAAATTAATAATTGAAATCAAATTTTGACATCATTAAAAACTGTTAATTGAGTTGATATTTATTAATAAAAAGTGTCATTTGTTATGAAATTAAAAATTTTGAAGAGTATGATGAATTTCCAAAATTATAAAGAATAAATTTTATTTTAAACAAATCTCAAAAAATATATTTATAATTTATTCAAAAGTTTATGAAACTAAAATATAAGCAATCCTGAGCAATGTAAATATGTAGACACTAGATAGGGGTGTGGTATGCAGTGTGGCCATTCATTTATTGGGAAGAAGCAATCCATTTTGTTTTTTTGTCTCTCCACTATAAAAAGTCACCTTTAGCAATAAAAAATGAAAATTTGCCAAAGCCCTAAATTTTGTCACTGAAAGGTTTGACAACAATATTGCCAAATGACGATGAGACAGAGTAGCCCAAGTGGTAAGGCTTTTCTTAGGTTAGAATATATATTTGTGTTGTAAATACTATAACCTTCTCAAAAAAAAAAAAACCATTAAGTCAATGACGACGATTTTGCTTATTTTGTCGCTAATTCTTTCACCATCCATTTGTGGTGAATTCATCCTTATATTTGAGGAATTTGATTGTTTTGTTTGTCCCTAATTCACAATGGGGATTCGTAAAAATTTTGAACACTAAGGTCATGTTTGTTTGGGTGGACATGAGCTTGGGATTGGACTAATAGTTCAATAAAATTATTAATCTGATGTTTGGTTAAACAATTAAAGTAGGGATTAATTATTTTAAGCTTGACTATTAGTTAAAATCGGATACATAATCCAACGAATTCGTAGTCCTAGGACTATTAGTCATGGGAATGTTAATCCAGTCCGCCCAAACAAACATGGCCTAAATTCTATAGCAGAAAGACTCAGACATACAAATATTTGTGTACAAATTTAATCATGACAACATGAAAATTGTGCATGAATGAGGGAATCCCACAAACCAAAAGATGTATTATTTGAGGAAATAAATTGGCCACGCAGTTGTGAAATCTAAATATTGATCAGATATTTTAATATACTGATCATAAATTATTGCTGAATCAACATTCCCTATCAAAATATTTTTTTCTTTTGTAAGTCTATTTTGGAATCATTATGTTGAGTTTTGATTTTTACTTGCAAATAAAAAAAGAAAAGAAAAGAAAAGAAAAAGATGGAGAAAAAAAAAATTCTTTTTTCGGTTTTGCTTAGCTACCCCTAAAAAAAATATATAAATATTTTTATTTTTCT